TGCGTGTATGTGTTGTGGGGGGGCGCGCGGGGGGGAGGGAGAGATGGCGGGGTGGGGAGAGAAAGCCCGGCCTGGGCTTCAAAAGGAGACCTGGCTGAACGAGGGAGACTTTGGACGAAGGGGGCGGGGATGCTGGAGGGCAGGAGCCTGGCGGTTCTCAAAAAGCGAGCAGTGGGGAAACCTTGTGTGAACCCCCCTTGTGGCCGGAGAACGCTGTCCAGGAGGGTGGCGGGGTGGGACCTCAGGCGCGGAGGACGAACAAGGAAAGGGGAGCGCGATCATCTCGCTATTTGCCTTCGGGAAGAGCCGTGCATCGGCGCCCCTTCCCTCGCCTTCAATCATCCTGTCAGGCAAGGAAAGGAAGACAAGGGGCTTCTGCTTCCTGTCCGTTTTTTGCCTCTGGCTGCAAACAAGGAAAGAGGAGGAGATCTGAAGGCATCCCTGATCCCGAGTTGGGAACCCCTGGTGTGCCTTTCGGGCTGAGGAAAGGGGGAGTGGCGCGGCGGCGTGGAGTGGAGGTGGACCTTGGCCGCAGCCTTTCTCCAGGCCCGGGGGTGGGGGGTGGGAATGAGTGAAATCTCTCTCTCTGATGCCTTCTGCTGTCTTGTTTGGCCTCGCAGGTGGCTTGCTCGGGTTTCCGCACAAGGATGCACCGTGATGACACCCACAAAGCGAGGCCAGGCTCTCCGGCAGCGACAGCAGCAGCACCTTCTCCAGTGGCAGCGGAAAGTTCAGCAGTAATGGAAACTGGGGGCGATGCCAGGACAGCACCTCGGTGGGGGGGAGGTGCTGGGACTGGCCGCGGTGGTGGGAGCAGCCGGGGTCCAGCTGCCGGAACTGCAGAACCCGCCAGGGTCCCGCCGGCGGCGGCGGCGGCAGCATCATTTGCTCCTGTGGGTGGGAAGGGTTTGAATATTGATGGACCCGGGAGAGGCGGCGGCGGCAGTGCCACCAGCAGCGTGGCTGGCTCGGACCCCGCTGCAATGCCGAGAGGAGGCAGAGCCGGGCCCTCCGCCCTGTTCCCCCGTGTGCCTTACGCCAAGGACCCCAAAATGGTCCACCAGCGCTTCCTGCGGAGGAGCGTGGTGGAGTCCGACCAGGAGGAGGCCCCCTTCGAGCCCGCAGAACCGGAGCCTGCACAGCAGAAAAAGATCATCCTCATCTCCAAAACTCGGCGGATAATTGCAGAGAGAGCAAAAGCAGGACAGAGACCGGTGGTGCAAGAGACGCGGCTCAGGAAGGAAGAGCCTGCTGTTGCCGCCGCCGCAGTCGCTGCCGCCCCTGTCCCCGTCGCCCCCTCTGCTACGGCCGAGGCCAAAGCTGGCGTGGCCGCTGAGAGTCCCTTGGCGGCTGGTGGGGACGCCAAGGAAGAAGGCGGCGGCGGCGGCGGCGGCGGAGGTGACTCCAACGAGGAAGGCAAAGAGGATGCAGAGAAAAAAGAGGCGCCCGATTCTTCCAAAGATCAGAGCAAGTCCAAGAAAGAGGAGGCCGAGGAAGAGGAGGAGGAGGCCGACATGAAAGCTGTGGCCACCTCCCCCGATGGCAGGTTTCTGAAGTTCGATATTGAGCTGGGAAGAGGGTCGTTCAAAACAGTCTACAAGGGGCTGGACACGGAAACCTGGGTCGAAGTGGCTTGGTGCGAACTTCAGGTAAGCCAAATTCTTCCCCTCTTGCCTGGGCTTAAAGGCGTTAGCAGCTCAGGACCAAGTGCGTGTGTCATGTAGCAGAGCTTTGCTGGAATCGTCTCGCTGTAGCTTATCCTCCCTGGGGCTAACTATAGCTCCGTATTTTCATTGGTTCCAACCCTTCCCCGCATCATATGTGCACACAGGCACACACTCCTCCTAGGTTTAACCCCCTCGGCTCTGGATTTGTGCTCCTTTCCCTAGTTAACCCTCCTCCTTGTTTTTAAATCATCTGTTCAATATGTGCATCTGCCAGAAGGATCTTCCAAACAGTTAAGAGTGTGTTGAACCTCCTGCTCTGATTCTAGACCATAATTTGATATGTAGCACTGAATTAAAGTAAAAATGGTTACTCTTTTAAATATGGTTTGTCACTGTTCAAGGTTATTTTAGCTTGCAGAAGTAAATATTAACTGTAGAAAATGATACACAGACAGTTCAGTTCAAGACAACTCAGAAGTAGAGACAACTACAGAGATAGATAGGGTTTACTCAGAATGGCTGGGCATAGAATTGTAATTCTGCAGAGCAGATCTATGTATATTTACTTTGAAATAAATCCCACTGAACTTGAAGTTAATTTCTAAGTACATAACATAGGGAGTATTATTCTCCCCCCCCCCCATAGACACAGTGGAATTTGTTTAGATTGTGAATTTTAGGAGACAGAAAATAGATAGGCTTGCACTGCTCACTCAGCTATCCTGCTCTTTAAAATGGCTCTAAGGAATGGAAATTGAAATGTTATTAGTGTTATTTGGCTCAGTCCACTAAATGAAGGAACTGATTGTTCACTTTTTAAATGATTTCTCCTTCATCTTTTTTTCTATTTTTTTCCTTTCCTTTTAAAAAGCTTTCTTGTTTAACTCGTGAAAATAATTAGTTTTGTTTGCCTCTGTCCAAACTGAAGGCTTGGCACATAGTCAGGGTTTTTCCTTTCTTTTCTGAAATCAAAGCTATAGTGGCATTTATTGGTGGTGCATTATGTAAATGCTATAGCAAGGCAGTGAAATAACTTTTGGAGTCTAATTCTCCTCTGTTAGGGAAAACAGATGCTTTTCGTAGCCTTTTCCTTTATTTGCAATTGATTTGTTTCTTCTTTAGTAAATATTTGAGAGACAAAAAAAGTCTGTTGTGAGTCTCTCAGTCCATTTTTGTTTTTCCTTTGTGCATTGTTGCTGCATATTGGGTTTAGAGTGATATATTTAGCTGTGATTGTAGGAACTGGTTGTGAGATAGTCATGTTTTGATTTAAGTAGCCAGTCACCCACCCCCCACCTCCAAAGTCCTCATGATGCCTGGGAACAATGGCTGGTGAATGGTATGGGGCAGAGGCTTCAAATCCTGCTTCAAATGCCTCTGTGAAGTTTGCAGTCAACAAATCAGGCATGCTTTTCATTCCAGTATGGTTGAATGATGAGTGGACGAACATCATTCTAATCACTAAATGCTTCTCTTCCATGCCCTTGTCATGCAGCAGTCTTATAATGTCTCACTACATATTTAGTGTATTGGCCAGACTAATTTTTTTGCCAATCAGAATGACTGTTTAAAATATTTGAGGGGGAAAAAGAAACATGAAAAAACACAGTTCTTAATCTCAGTGCCATAGTTTACAGAGGTTATACTGTAAGCTCAACTGAAATGTATGATGTGCTGCATCATTAGAGTAAGGCAACTTAAAATGGAACAAGGTGCATTAATATTGTCAGGCCAAGAACTAATGTCCTAGTTAGTATATGCAGCGTATAATATATACAAGAGATGTACATGACATTGGACAAATAAGACATCATATTATTTGCAGTATTTTTTAATTCTGTCTAACCACCAAACATCCTGAATACATTTTTAAGGATTTGCTAATGGAATTGGAGAAGAATACTGTATCTCATTCAGTTTAGCGATTAATCATTTGAGTTACAGATCTGAATGCTGTTACACAATGTGGGAGGACATAACGAACTGCTTGGTTAATTTTATAACATCATCTGTTTAAACAAAAGTCTTATGCTTTAGATTCTGCTTCTTTAAAAATGTATTAAATGTACATTAAATCAGTTTCATTAGCTGAAAAAAAACCAGCCATATGATTGTAAAAAAATATCCAGACAGAAGAAAACAGAACAACCCCCCCCCGCTCCACCCCCCAGCCTTAAAAGTAGTGTCAGCTTAAAGACCATTATATTTCAGTGTTAGCTTTCATGGAAAAGTACCTTCACTTCTTTCCATAGTGTTCATTTTTTCTCAGCCCTTCCCTAAAAACATTTTAGGCCATTTTCTTAACATGTGGGACATCTTAATGCCTACCAGTAATAAGAACTTATGAAAATAAAAATAAAGAACAAGGAATAACTATCTGAATAATTATTCTTTCTTAAAAGTAAATGTTGAAGCTCTGACCTCACCCCCTACCAGTCCATGATCCCCAGCAGATTGCCTTCTTGAAATGAAAATATTTCCTACCTTAGAAGTTCAGGCCAACTCTAGGTACACTGTGTTTTCAGTATATACACAGCTCCAATGTCCAATGCACAGTTTCTCTTAGCAGCATGAGAATGTCTCAATCTGCTTTAATAATACTTTATGTGTTGTGAAAAGAACCTTTGTTAACTGTATTTTGATAACCTTCACCTACCTATAATTTCAAACTGGTTCCATGTTTGCTGCAAGTTCATGTATTAATCACATTATAGTGAGCCGTAAAAGTGTCCTGCAGGGATTGCTTCACCAGTACTGTATTTTCCAGTACTGTGCCTATTGTATCTGCCTGATAAGGTCCCATTGATCATGGGTTGTTAAGAAATATCTTTGTTTTGATAGGTAAATATTTCTGTGTTGCTTGGTTTGCTTTCAGTGACAAACCACTTGAAAGGGTCTGCTTCAGAACTGACTTCTTCATTAGCTAGTTTAAATATTTCACACTCATACCTAAGGGCTGGTTGTTTAAGGGTATCAGCGTATTTGCCCCCTTTAGAGTATCCTTTTGAGAAGGTGCTTTTCTTTGTAAGGACGTAGAGGAGAATTTAATGCCAGGGAAAAATCCTGGGAGTTATCTTTCAACTATCTCTTCCTCTTTGTCTCTTCCTCTGATATTGCTGGTGTGGTGTAGGGGCCTGGAAGTATTCCTTTTAAAACAAAAAACAAAAAACCACTAACTGTGGTTTGGCACCATGGTGATAATAGTAAGAGTAGTTAGCTTTGATTATGATTTATCCAGGCAAGTTACATTCAGCTATACCCCGGAATGCCATAAATTGTGCTTTTAAATCGGTCAGTGAGGCCAGTATTCATCTAGCCTTTTTCACATAGTAATAATCCACAGTTTAGCATCACATCTGAATTCAGCTTCTAAGCAGCATAGCTAACTGAATACATTTCCAACAGTGGAGAACCACAGGAGAGAAGTGAGAATTACTTTATATATTTTTTCTGTTTATATTGTAACTTTTAGTGCTCTGTGTTTGCCAATGAGAATGCTTTTAAAATCTAAGTAGTCCAAACTGTTGTAGTTCAGTAACACAATAATAGCTCAAATGTCTATGCAGTTGAGCAAAGTTACTGCTCTGCTAATAGCCGGTAGGGTTCCGGTGGCAGTGAACACACAGTAGTTAATTCTAGATTAGGAAATGAAGACAGTCATTACAGGAATCTTGTAAAAATGTGGTGATCAAGTTCCTTGTTAACATATCCTCTTCAAAACTTCTCAGTAGACGATAAAAAAAATAGAGTGTGGCAAGGTCTTTTTTTCCTATCCAGCACTCAGTAACAGGGCTCATCCTTCTCTGTTCCAAAAAAGGAATAGGATTGGGGCTATACTCCCTTAGAAAGCACAAGTGCACAACTTGGAGGTGTTCTTGTATTCATCTCTGAGCCTGGATGCCCAGGTTTCAGTAGCGCCCAGGAGTGTCTTTCCATAGTTAAAACTAGTGTGCCAGCTGTGCTCATTTTTTGAGGCGTCTGATCTGGCCACAGTGACACATGCCCTAGTTCCAGCTCGGCTAGATTACTGTAATGCAGTCTAGGTGGAGCTGTCTTTAGAAAGTATTTGGAAACTCAAGGGTCCAAAATACAGCAGCCAGATTGTTAACTGGGGTTGATTTCAGGGAACATAAAACTCCCCTGTTGTTACAGAAACTCCATTGGCTTTTGATCTGTTTCCGGGCATAATTCAAAGTGCTGGTTTTAACCAATAAAGCTCTAAATGGCTTGGGTACAAGCTATCTAAAAGACTGCATCTCCTGCTATGAGCCTGTTCAGGCATTAAGGGGAGGCCTTTTTCTCCGTCCTGCCACCATCATAGGTGCACTTAGTGGGGACACAGAAGAGGGCCTTCTCTGTTGCTGCTCCCAGACTCTGGAACTCCCTCCCACAGGAAGCTAAGCTGGTCCCATCTTTGCTGTCCTTCCGCAAGCAGGCAAAGACCTTTTTCTTCAGGCAGGCTTTCTCTTAGTAACTGGTAGTCTGAGAGGGAATTATAAATGGATTGTTGTGCTCTGCTGTTTTAGATATATTTTGATACTGCTTTTATTTAGTGTTTTTAATAAAATACTCGTTTAATTCTTTTTTAAATATTTGTGTATTTACTTGTTTTAGTTTTTGAGCATTGTCTTTTAAAGCCTCCTTGAGTCCCTTTTGGGGAGAAAGGCAGGATAGAAATACTCTGAATGAATGAATGAATGTGAAATGGTTTCCTATTGATCTGTCACGGTCATGCAGTTGTTACAAAGAGAGTTATGGATGGATGCTGTCTGTCTAGCAACAACATGTGTAGAGATTCCTGTATGTTTTAGACATATTTAAATTGGGCTAATGCTTGGTATTTTCCCACTGCTCTGTATTCTGCCTTAAGGAAAAAAGGGACAATGCCATGTTGTTGTTGTTGCTTTAATATTCAGTAGTTTTGGGAACGGAATGAAAATAATCCATACATAAGCTTTTCTGTGCTGCTGAACTATACAATC